ATGGGAAAACGGAGCCTTTGGCGGGATGAGAGAAAAGGGGGTCTCGGGGCACGAAGCGTACTTCGAGGGGGAAATGGGGGTGTCGGGGCACGGAGTGTCCCTCATGGCGGGGATGGGGAGAGGCAGCGCCTCGAGGCGGGGCGAAGGAAGGGGCATTAGTGCAGAGAGCGTGCTTCAAGTGGAGGGGGAAGGGAGAGACGTGAGGGGGATCTGGGGGCACGGAGCGTGCCTAGGGACGGGGATAGGGGGCCAAATGGAACGGAGCATGCTTCAAGGCGGGGATTGGGGAGGGAGGCCTCGGGCCACGAAGCGTATCTCAGGGCGGGGATGGGAAAACAAGGCCTCGAGGAAGGTATAGGCACGGAGCGTGCCTTGGTGAAGAGATGGTTCATGTGCATCCCTCGAGGCGAGAATCGGGGAAGGAAAGGTCGTGGGGTGCCTCGGGGCGGGGATGGGGGAAAGGGAGGCCTCGGGATATGAAGCGTGCTTCGGGTTGGAGAGAAGGAGGGGGCATCGAGGCATGGAGCGTGCCTTAGGGCGGGGATGGGGGAGGCAGGGGTACAGTGTGTGCCTCGGGGAAGGGATGCAGGGAAAAGGGGCTTGGGGAAAGAAGCGAGGCGAGGGAAGGGGGGCCTCGAGGCATGGAGCTTGCCGCGGGGTGAGGCGAGAGAAGGGGGGGCCTTGAGGCATAAAACATGCCTTAGGGCGGGACAGGGAGGGGCCTTCAAGGCACGGAGTGTGCCTTAAGGCGGGGAGGGGGACCTCAAGGCACGGAGTGTGCCTTAAGGCGGGGAGGGGGAAAGGGGCCTCAGGGCACGGAATGGGAGGAAGGGGAAAAGGCGGACTCGGGGCACAGGGCGTGTCTCTAGACGGGGATGGGAGGAGGAGAACTCAGGGTGCCTTGGGACGGGGATATGGAGAGGGGGGGGCGTCAGGGTGCCTCGAGGCGAGGCGGGGGACGAGCTTGCCCCGAGACGGGGTAAGTGAGAGGGGCCTCGAGGCACGTGGCGTGCTTCGGGGTAGAGATGCGGGGAGGTGGGGCCTTAGGGCAATGGGTGGGGATGGGGGAGAGTGATCATCGGAGCGGGCGAGGAAGGGGTCCTCGGGACGGGGCGGAGGAGAGAGGGTCTCGGGGGCACGAATCATGCCTAGGGGCAGGAAGGAAGAAGAGGCCTCGGGCACGGAGCGTATATCGGGGTTGGATGGGGGTAGGGGGCCACGAGTCACAGAGCGTGCCTCAGAGAGGGGTAGGGGGCCTTAGGGCACATAGTGTGCCTCGGGGCGGGGATGGAATGAGGCGAGCCTGGAGGTGCCTCAGGGCATGGATGGGGAAGGGGGCCTTAGGGCACAGAGTGTGCCTCGGGGCGGGGATGGAATGAGGCGGGCCTGGGGGTGCCTCAGTGCATGGATGGGGAAAGGGTGACTTGAGGTGGGGCGGGAAATGGGGCCTCTAGGTACGAAGCATGCTTCGGGCGGGAATGGGGGGGGGGAAGAGTGGCCTCGGGGCATGAAGCGTGCCTCGGGGTGGGGCGAGGGAGGGGAGCCTCGAGGCATGGAGTGTTTTCATCGGAGAGGGGAGGAGGTGAAAGAGAGGGGATTCGGGGCACGAAACGTGCCTCGAGGCAAGGATGGGGTGAGGGGGGCCTCAAGGTGCCTTGAGGCAAGAATAGGGAAAGAGGGGCCTCGGGGTGCCTCAAGGAGGGGCGCGGGACGGGGGTGCCTCGAGGCAGGGTAAGGGAGGAGGCCTCGAGGCACAGAGCATGCTTCGGGGAGGGGATGGGGCGAGGCCTTAGAGGCACGAGGCAGGGATGGGGGGAGAGCATACCTCGAGGCTGGGCAAGGGAGCGGGGCTTGAGGTACGGAGCATGCCTCGGGGTGGGGCAGGAGAGGGAGAGAGGACTCGGGGCGGGGCGTGGAAGGGAGAGAGGCCTCGGGGCATGCAAGGCATAGAGCGTGTCTCAAGGCGGGATGGGGAGGGAGATGGTCCTCGGGGCACGCGAGGCACAAAGCGTCTCTCGGGGCTTGCGAGGGAGGGAGATGGGCTTCGGGGCACGCTCCGTGCCTCATGGTTTGGGGTGGGGTGGGGGTGGGGGGAGTTGTCGTGCCTTGTGGCGTGGGGGGGTGGTGCTCGATACAAATCCGTACGTATTCAACCTTATTTTTTTTAAAGGATTTGAGAATTTCTAAAAGAGTCCACATTGAATTCTTTAAGGTTTTTTCGGATTTTGGGAATTGTATATAAACCCTTTTTTCACTGATCATCGATGGTTCTGAAGGCTTGAAAAATGGGACCTTGCGAAAGTTTTTGGGAGCTCTTGTTTCGATAGCTAAATCTTCATTATTTTGTTGTTATTTGAGGTTAATGTCGTCCTTGTTAGCTGCTCTGCAAAAGTTAATCTTCTTTCTTCTTCCCTTAGTTTAACGAGCATTGAGTAGTTATAGCTCTGTTGAATCAAAGGAGGATACCATCAATTGATACTCCGATAGATTTAATAATGAATTGTGTTCTGCCTGCATATTTGAGAACTTATCTGTTGGAATTTTCTTTACTTTGTTTTGGCTTCATTTCCAATTCCAGTCTCTTCTAAATAAGTATTTATGTAAGTTGACATCTCTGTTTTATGTATTTCAAGATTGTCCAATGAACCGAATGATTGGGGATATATAGCTAATATATGTTCTTGATCACTAAGTTAAGGGCAAGATTCAGTTTTCATTCTTAAGTCGTTATTGCTATGTCCATTTCTTTGTGCTAACAACTTCTAGCTTGCTGTGTATTTAAAATATCGGTGTCCTGTTTGAGTAGTATGTTTGCTTCAGTTGGTTTTCTTGTTACTCAAAGAAAGTAAAATAAAATTGAGATGTCTCTTTATTAGCTGCTGGAATGTGCTATCACTCCTCTTCATCTCGTTTAATTCTTTTTCTTAATTTATGTGTGATGATAGCTGAAAGCTTGGGCGTTTTATCTTGGTTTTACTTCCTGTTGATTGTTTTTCTAGTCTTAATGTACAAATTTAGTTTCAAATTATAATTTGATCATATAAACTCTGATCGTATGTGTCCTAGTTGGCGCTTTGTGGGTGTAGTTTACACAATGTGATATGAATTTGGCATTAACTATAGTGTTCAGATTAGTGTATCGTTTCTCTTTATCTAATGTTTCTTGGCAATTCAGTAACTTTCTGATTCCATCTTGTTGTTTTGGGCTAGCTTTATTTCATTAAAATTATGTTATCACACTGCGTGTTTTACCTTATCTTTTTTGGAAATTATTTTCATTAATCTTCTTTAGTTAGCTTCTTTCGTGCTATGCATGTTATCTCTATTTCTGTGTCATAAAATGTTTCCTTTGAGTTCCGCATAAGTCATTTATATTAGTTAATGTGTGATCATAGCTAAAAACATGTAATCGCATGAACCTTGATTAAGTTCATGGATCAACCTCCATCAAGTTCGAGAAGTTATTAGGTTAAAACTCAAATTAGTGGCAGCAGCTCAGTAGCGAAGTAATAATAGTCTGAAAAGCAAGAAATTTATTTGATCATTGTAGCAGCAACCCAAAGGTCTAAGATTTTGTTGGTCTCTAGAAGTCTGATAATAATTCAGCAGCTGCAGGACTGACTATTTTTTGGAACAAAAGTCCAGATTCTTTCAAATTTTATATGACATGATATACTATGATTCAAAAGATAAAAGGGGTAATGTTTCCTATCTAGTAAAAATTTATTCAAATTATTTAATTTAGTATAATGATTTGTCAAGTTGGTGTGTTGTCATAATTTTTTGATTTCCATTATTCTTTATCTATACTGCTTTGAACTATTTTTCTCTTGAGTTGAGACTCTATCGAAAATGACTTCCCTACTTGGGTAGAAATAAAATCTAGGTAAACTTTCTCTAGTCCCGACTTTATTTTGTTATTGGAAAGGGTTGGTTGACAGTCTTCAGGACCTGCAATTTACTACAAATTGAGTTAGTGAAGTAAAATATTAAAATATTTTATTTTTGCCAAATAACTAATTATTTTTTGTCTGAAAAGAAAAGCTCAGTCAAAATTTATTATAAATTTGACCCCAAAAAAAATCAAAAAGGTTATTGAAGTTTAAAAAGTAAAATAAAATTTGAATAATAGCACACGAACAAAAAAAATAAATGTAAAGAGTATGTTTATCTCACTCAATTGTAATAAAATCATGTATAAATAAAGACAATCAAATAAGCAAATTTATCTATTAATAATTTAGAGTTTAGAAAAAATTGAATAAAATCACAAATTAAAGAGGTCTTTATGTATTTTGTCAAACATATAATGTTCTAATGAGGATTGAAATTTAGTCAATTTCATTTATGATTTTTTAATTAAAGTTATCATGATTGATAAGATAATTAAATGTAAAAAGACAAAAAAATAATTAAAATTGTCAAAAAAAATTTATTATACTTTAAAACACCCCCCTAATGAACATTACTTTGACTCTAAATGTTCCCACTCCAACCCTACCCAATAACTTTTTCCTATATATATATATACTCTTCTTCTCCTTAGAATGAAGAACAAAAAAAAAGATGGAGGAACAAGTCGGAGAACAACAGGGTTCTACTATCGCTTCAATTCCCCAAAAGAGCTTTTCTGAAGTAGTTACTGGCATTGATAACTCAACAATTGTGCAGTCGCAGCCTCCAACTTCAGCTTCATCTAGCAGACTCCCTCCAAGGCAACAACTAAGGCTTCGTGATGTGAAGACTCTAGCCAGACTCATGGGTCGTCTTACTGAAGAGGAGAAAAGAGTCATTTTGCTCCTTTATAATAATAATAATAATAATTAATGTAAAAGGTTTATTATTTAATTTCAGCATGTACTTGTTGCTCGATCTTTTAATTCCTTCATCACTTAGATGAATTATGTTTTGTTTTTCCATTTATGTATGATCTTTATATTAATATATGTTTTACAGTTGAGTTCATGAGTTACGACGGCGGTACAAAAGAATATAAAGAGAAAGTGGGCGGAGAGGTCGCCTACTTCGTTTATTTTGTTTAGATCTGTCAAAATAGGTTTATCCCATAGGGCCGCCCAGACTACCTGTTATTGGGGTAGGGTTGGAATAAGATTTTTCAAGCCCATTTAAAATTAGGGCTTATAAGCCCAACCCAGATAGGCATTTGGCCTTTGAAGCTTGACCAGGGAAGAGCCGAGATAGGCCCATGAGCCAAAACTATTTATTTAATGGTAAATTTATAACCTCACTAGTATATGAACTAATCCCCTAAATGCAAACTATGTTGTAATTTACGAATCTTACCAGATTTTGGTATGTCCAGATACATGTACCCAAAATTAGGTTCATTTGTTCTAGATACACTCTATTCATGTGGATTTGCAGGTATCTAGGATACTTAGACAAATCTCGAACCCTGCCTCCGTCTCATATTGTTCATCACTCCCATATCTCGCTTACGTATCTGGGATGCATCACACCGGATACATGTATCCACGTATATTCTAGATACATGTCATATTAGATTTGAAAATCTTCTCATTTTCATCGTGTAATAAAATTTTAATCTTGAAAAGAAAAAAAGAAGGATCAACCCGCCCTAACCCTTGGCTCTTTTAGGGTTAGGTTGGATTGGGAATTTCCAAGCCCTTTTAAATGAAGGGTTGTCCTGTCCCAGCGCATCGATTCCTTGACCCATGAAGCTTACATCGGGTGTGGCTAAGACGACCTCTTTGACAACTCTAAAATTTGCTCTTATACTTCTCCTCCAACTTTATTAGATTAATTTGATTCAAAATTATATTTATATTAATTTTATATTTCTAATGAGATAAGTGATATTATAAGATTTTGAAAAAAAAAATACAAATTTTTGGTAATATCTCACCCAAAATTTAAGATATATAAACTTAATTTCTAAACTAATATTAGAATATTCCACCTAATTTCTTGTACCAAAATACTCATTAAAGATTATTTTTTTTATAGCTTACTCTAATGATTTGTCATTCTATTTATTTATTTAAATATATTTTCACCATTAATTATATACATAATTATAGCGTTCAAGTCACGTGTGGTTATCTTTTTAACTTTTTGTACCATCAACATCTTTGGTCTTGTTTATCAGTTAAAGAAGAAAATTTGAAATGCCGATATTATCGAGATGATAAATTTATATTTCTAAGTTTAGAATTTATGCGATTTTTAATCAATTTTGTGTGTTTAATTCTTCTTTCATGATCTTATATCATTCTGACTAATAAATTGAAAAAAAATTTGCAGCTAAGTAAATAATTAATAGAAACATAGTTTTACTACGGAAAAATAAAGCAAGAAAGCGCAATTACATATAAAGATTGATAAGTAGAACCAATGATTAAAACTACCAAAATTGACAACTCAAATGATAATTTTTTAAATATGTATCTAGAACAAGTGATAGCTAGTGTTGTTTCTTGGTTATATGTAAAATTAATCTAGTTATAATTTTTGAAGATCGTTATAAATTATTAGTACTAATATAAATGATTTATGTCTTTGCTTTTTTAGATCATAATTATTTATTTAATTTTTGCACGCACTTGTTGCTCAATCTTTTAATTTCTTCATCAGTTAGATGATTTATGTTTTGATTTTTTATTTTTGTTTGCTCTATATGTTGATATGTTTTACAATGTAATTTATGCGTTACAGCGCTACAAAAGAAGATAAAGAGTCAAGGGGGCGTAGAGGCACCCTAATTTAATTTTTCTTTCATGGCTTTATATCATTCTGGTTAAGAAATAGAAAAGAAACACAACTAAATTAATAATTAATAGAAATATGATTCTACTAAAAAAAATAAGAGCACAACTATAATGATCCAAAAAAGATTTATAAGTAGCACCAATGATTAAAACTATCAATATTGAAAATTCAAATGATAAGTCCGAAATCAATATTGAAAATTCAAATGATAAGTATGAAAATATGTATGTATGATTAGAGCATATGATAGTGTTGTTTCTTAGTTGTACTTGTATAATTATAATTTTTAAGATTGTTATTGATTATTAGTACTAATATAAATGATTATTTATTGTTTTATATTTATTTATTTTTGACATTGGAACTAAAAACAAGGCAAAAAAAAAAGAAGAAGCAATCAAATCAAGTTAATCAATAATTCCTTTCCTCAAGTTATCTATTTGAAAATCTTCTTTTAATTTTTAACTAGTTGATAGTACGTACGTGTGTGTCATGTTAATATAAAAGGTAAAATAAAATTTAAAGAATATCACATGAATAAAAAATATATATTTGATAAGTATGTAAAGCTCACTCAATTGCGATAAAATCATGTATGAATTAAGACTATCAAAAAAGTAAACTTCAATAAATATCTATATCTATTAATAGTTTAGAGTTCAAAAAAGTTGAATAAAATTCACAAATCAAAGAGGTCGTTATGTATTAATGTTCTGATGAGGATTGAAATTTAGTCCATTTTATTTATGATTAATTTACTTAATTTGTCTTAATTGATAAAATAAATAAATTTACAATAACAAAAATAAATGAAGTAAAATTTTCAACAAAATTTTCAAATACTTTAAGACATCCCCTAATAAAAATTAAGTTGTCTCTAAATAACCCCACTTCATAAAATTTTTCCTATATATATTCTTCCTCTCCTTAGAATGAAGTAAAAAAATAACAAAGCTGAGGGACAAGACGGATAATAATATAGTTCTATTATCGATTCAATTCCTTAAAAGAATTTTTCTGAAGTGGCAACTGACATCGATAACTCAACAAACCCCAATTATAGTCTTCATTTTCAACTTCATCTAGCAAAGTCCCTCCAAGGAAACAATTGAGGTATTGTGATGTGAAGACACTAGTCAGACTCATGGATCGTCTTACTGAAGAGGAGAAAAAAGTTATTTTGCTCCTTTTAATAAATAATGTAAAAGGTTTATAATTTAATTTTTGCATGCACTTGTTGGTCGGTCTTTTAATTTCTTCATCACTTTGATGATTTATGTTTTGATTTTTTATTTTTGTTTGCTCTTTATATTGATATGTTTTACAATTGAATTTATGAGTTATGATGCTACAAAAGAAGATAAAGAGACAACGGGTCGTAGAGGTTAGCCTAATTTATCTTTTTCTCCTATAACCCTTTTCTATCTTTTTAAATTTTGTTTGATTCAAACTCAAATTTTTCAATATTTATATAAATATTATATTTTATATGAGATTAATGATATTGTAAGATTTGGAAACAAAATCATTCTTGTCACGATCCAAAACGAGCCGCGAGTGGCACCCACACTTACCCTACTATGTGAGCGAACCAACCAATCTAAACCCCAACATTTCAAACATAATAAACATAAAAATAATGCGGAAGACTTAAAACTCATTAACGAAATCAATAATCAACTTCTAAAACTCAAACTTATCATTATCCCCAAAATCTGGAAGTCATCATCACAAGAACATCTATTCTCAAATTCCCAAAGCTAAGAGTATCTAAGAAACTAAACATAAATAACAGCTAGTCTATGCCAGAACTTCAAGGCATCCAGACATGAAGAAGAAGATCCAGTCCAAGCTAGAAGCTTTAGCTCACCCTGAAATCTGGTGTGACGAAGACTGGCTAGAGTTGCGGTTGAGTTGAAGACGACGGTACGTTTGCTGCACCCCACAAATAATAAAAAGAAAACATACAAGTTGGGGTCAGTACAAAACATAGGTACTGAGTAGGTATCATCGGCCAACTCAAAATAGAAAACAGTATATATCAGATAATATCATAAAATCAACTACAATACTCAACATGTAGCAACACAAGTACGAGAATCATTGATAAATAACGCCAAGTACACCCATGAGAACTCAAGCCTCCATACCATACTCATTTGAGAAATAGGTTCATTAAATTGAGTATATTAACATATTTCAAGATTCATTCTCTTTACTATCCTGGTGTCGGAACGTGACACTCCGATCCTCATCATACTATCTT